TTTAATGGTCCCTCATGGAGATTAAAACATTGCCCTTTAAGCTTTACAGTAAGTTCCCCCTCCCCCCACAGAGGCAGACATGTTTATACAGGTACCATAATTCAAAATTGCCATGATCATGTATGCTGGGTCGCAGTCTTCAAATTCTTACCTTTCCTGTTTTGTTTAGTTTTTTCTCTTAAAGGTGCCAATGGACCATATTTTCATGCATGTGATCACTAAAGACTGGAAACACAAGCACGAGTGACAAAGTTTTGTCTTTATTGCAGTTCGAAGTCTGGTAAACTCTCCTGTAAATTTGCATAACCAAAGGGCATTTGACCAGTTGGTGATGTAAATATTACAGATTGTTGACCTTCTGGCTGTTTTAAGAGGTAATTTTTAAAAGCTGTATGGTTGGCAGTGTTGTGTGGTCAGAAGTAATTTTGTAAAACTTAGTGCGATTGCAGCTTAGGGCTGTTTTTAAGGTACGGATAGATAGTGCTAACCTTCTTTCATCCCTTAATTTGCATAGTGTACACAGTACCAGCTGACTGTCTCCTGTCTCTAACTTTAGCTGTTCCCAGAGCTAACCTCTCCATATACTCAACCCACTGGTACCTATAAATAAACATTTCATCGATTGCTTGAAGCTTCCCATCCACACAGTAAACACACAGAGCGTCACCTCAAAGTTTGATGCGGATGAACATAAAAGTGCTGATATACATAGAACTTTTTTTCGATCTCAGAACCGTGGATCAGGGTTGGTGTAGATAGTGGGCTTGGATCATCAGAACTCTGACATTCTGAGTTATGCAACTTGTTTCCGCAGCCTACAGTCCAGTACGCCCACCTAAGCCTCCACCTTTTTATTTTTCCATTTCTGACAACTGAAAACTTGAGAACTAACATTAACTGGTATAATGAGACAGCCCACTTCGCTACTAGATGCCTTTGTTTCATTTGGCTCTTCGGCCTCTCTTTTGGAGGGTGTCTGTTGACAAACGATTATAAATCATCTCTGATGGTAACAGAAAATGGCCTTGAACAAAACTGTGACCTGAATGCTCTCCATGGGGCTCCTTTGTGGTGACTTTTGAGTTCGGTCATTAGCAGTGAGGTGAAAGAACATGCTGAGAGTGTGAGCCTCTAACAGGAGATGAGATCTGATTAATCACACACTCCACAAGGTGCAAAATATCGGACACTTTCATCTGCACAGGAAGTCCAGTGTAGACTTGGACCAAATGTGTGAATCATATGTGTCCAGTGAACCGTTATGGCATCTTTTAGAAATGAAAGTGAGGTGTATTTTTTTTTTTTCAGATTAGATAGGGTACACCTAATGTCATATAATGCAATGCAGATCAGTCAACTACAGCACTACTGCATTACTTCAAAAAAAATGAAGAACATGTCCAGATGTTCCTGAATAAATTTCTGCAAAAATATTCTGGATTGCTGTGTCAGTCTGCTCATGGAAGGAGATTCATGATGTGATTCACTGAAGTGACCGAACCATGCATTGATTAGGTATTAAAAAAATTCTCCAACATAAATTAGTTCAGATTTTTGATTAACTGTGAAAGAGATGCGCCTACAGTGATCTTTAACCTCTTCTCCCACCCTTCCCCTCCAAACAGGAAAAAGGGCACAGTGGTGAATGGATATTTACTCTTCCTTTGGTTGCATCTCTTTAGGGAATGTAATCTGAGAGTGCTTTTGCCAAAATAATAAATTTTTCAACAACTGGATTCAGGAGACAATGAAAGGACCAAACTATAAATGTGAACTGGTGCTACCAAACATAACTCAATAAGCGGGCCGATTGCTCCCCAGTGCAATACTGGCAGCATCTCTTTCCTGTTCAATCTTTTGTATTACCCATACATGACCTCATCAGTAAGTTCTGAGCTACTATTTTACAGATACATGACTTACTCTTGAGTTAAGTTGAACTCTCCTCAGGCTATCTGTGGAGGTCAGGCATTACAGTAAAACAGCTCACTTTTTTCCCCCCAACATCAGCTGTTCATTTCAAAAATCTAAATTTGGGCATGTCTCTGTTGCAGCTACCGGTCATGCATGTGGCATGTCCCTCATAGCAACACATCAGTTTTGACTGACGTCTAATGCTGCTGAATTTTGACATGTAGGCAGAGTAACTCTGCAGTTGGTAAGCCTGCAGTCATGAGACCACTTTGACCTTACTTGGGCATTAATGTTGTGGGTTTTACAGATGTGTGTGTTTTTTCTGAATGTGTGTATTTTGTTATATTTTATATGGCGTGTGTATACCGATGTCTTTTGGTTTACAAGTCATTGTGTTCTCTCTATCTCTGTTTATCTGTAGGGAAATTGCAGGCATACACAAATCCTGTTTTACACTCATAGTTCCAGAGTAACACTTGAAATGGTAGTTTCTTTTTGGGACATCTCTGATAGAGGTCGACCGATTGATCGGCTGATTGATTTTAATTAATCGACATCGGCTGATTGTGCTGCAAATTAGGCCGATTTATAGGCAGGTGCACCTGCGGGCAGCTAATTGTTGTGGAACTCTGAGGCTGCATGAGACGGAGCAGCTCACTCTGCAGCCGAGGCTTGTTCACAAACAGCTTCAGCTAATGGCAGGGCAAAACAGACCGTTTCGAAAGCGGAATTACGTTTTACCCTACTAGAATTGATGCCGGAAACTTACCATATTCATAAGTGCAACAAGTCATTTGCATGTGAAAGTAGAAACACGTTCAATTCAGACAAAACTTCTGGGCTGATTATAACGTGCACCTGAACTTTCCTCATGAAATGTGTGTGTAGGTCCGACAATATCATCCACGATATCATCGCTAGCGCACTCTTAAGCAGTTATGAGCAGCAGGCTGTGTAATATGTGTGAAATCTTTTATTTTTGTTATCACTATGGCCATTTGACTTATAGCAGTGTCCAGTGTTTCCTATACATTGAGTTATTTGTGGCGGCTCATCACTATATCAAAACTGACTTTTGATAAGGCTTATACTTCGTTTTTGAAAAGGCTTATACTTTGTTGAATAAAATGAGCGCATCACGTTTCAAAATTAAAATGCAGTGCGGGTGTTTTTATATGAATGGTTGAATAAAAATACAGCGCGGGTGTTTTTATATGAATGTATCTTTAAAAAGAACCGACTGTCTTCAGAAAAGCTTCGATGTCATTTTCATTTCGTCTTTCCTGTAATGCCTAGTAAAGTAGCGTTTGTGAGCGGAGCGCTGATTTGATTACGTTACCGGGGAAACCACTATATCTCCAGCTCCCAAAGCGCCACCTGCTGGCAGATAATTCATTTGCAGTGTGTGGGAAACACTGGTGTCTGTCAGCAAACAAAAACAAAAAGCATGCTTCAGAACTGTTTTGAGAAGGTGCTTAAGTTTTGAGCCATGTATTATTACTCTAAATTGGGCTACTACTACTATTACTATCTTGTACCCTGCAATAATCATTTGCTCAAACTCACTTTTATGAGATGTATCGGCCAAAAAAATCGGCATCATATATCGGCCATTGGCTGCCCTGATTTCTAAATATTGGCATCGAAATCGGCCAGTGAAAAACCCATATCGGTTGACCTCTAATCTCTAATCACCTCTTGTTGAATTGTTCCACAACTTAAGAGCTTTTCACGGAAGTATAATCCGGGGACTTCTGGCATACTCTTTTCAACATACTGTGCTTTGGGACACACTTTTAAATCTGAATTTAAATCTCACATACTATTTAGGATGGATAGTATGAACATTGGGACGCATGGCCAACCAAATGACAAGAACGAATTACTGTGAGCCGGTTCCTATTATTCAATCAAAATCACTCATGATTCAGTCAGAGCGAATAGCTATGGCCTATTGAATTTATTCGCTGACTGAACCGTTGAAAGTTATTACTTTCGTCATCGCCATCTCCAAATTAACCGAGAACTATTATCTTATGTTGTGCTTAAAGGGATAGTTCACCCAAAAATGAAAATTAGCCCATTATTTACTCACCCTCAAGCCATCCTAGGCGTATATGACTTCCTCCTTGCAGATGAACAGCTGTTTCCGTGTACAACAGTGAACGCAAGCTAGATTAAATTGATTATTACGTTTTAAATATGGTTATTTTTCTTACAAAAATGCATCGATTCGCTACAGGAGACCTTTGTTCACCCCCCGGAGCCATGTGAGGCACTTTTTATTATGGATGGATGCGCTTTATTTCACTTCTTTTGGACTGATGAACTGCAACACCCACTGACTGCCATTAAACAGCTTGGAAGATCAAAGACAAATTTGAATATAACTCCGACTGGATTCGTCTGAAAGAAGAAAGTCATATACACCCTAGGATGCCTTGAGGGTGAGTAATCCATGGGCTAATTTTCATTTTTGGGTGACCTAACCCTTTAAGGCTAGCGCAGCTTATATTGTCGTTTTACTGACTGATTTATCATGTGTAAAGATTTTACTCAAGGGTTTGTTGCTATTCTATAAAAATGAATTAAATATTAATTTGAGTAATTTTATTGTTAAGACCAATTATTTGTGTTTGTCACCTCTTAAGGCCCGTGAAAGTCATTACTGTGAACACCATCTGAAATCTGAATTTATCTCATTACGTTTTTGCCATGAGACCAGGTTGCTCATTAGACTGATGTGGAGATTAAATGCGATAAAATGTTTTCCCAAATACTTCTTCTAGAACTCAAAAAGAATGGTTAATGAAACTGTTATGAACGAGGAATGATAAAGATGATTCTGAATCCGAATCACAAACATCAGGATTCCTTACGATTCCCATCTCTAATCACCGCAATCGCGAAAAACGGCAGCACCTCGGACAATTCCACACCCGCCCCGCCCTCAGGGAATGATTGACATCTAGCTATCCACCAGCTACATCCAATCAACGGAGGATCTGGGACTTGCAGTCGTTGCCCGTGGATACAACAGGGGGAGCTTCAAAGCGGTTGTTTACAGTTGAGAGCGGCAGTCTGACTGGACGGAGGCATCTGCGATTTTCTTGCAGATGGGCTAAAGGCGAACCACCTGGGAAGTGCATGGACAGTAGTTATCACCAGCGCACCTATAGAAAAAAGCAACTCCAGCTGATCTTGTAGATGCTCACCGGCCGCTGATACAATCACGGGGTTATTTTCCTCACGACTGGTGCGCATCTTGTCTGGGTTGCTTTAGGACAACAGCAGGATCTTACATTTCACATCTTACAACTGACAAGCTTTTTGTAGGACCAAACGCACTGGGCGCGATGGATAACGAAAAGTACTTGCCAGAACTGATGGCGGAGAAGGATTCTCTGGACCCGTCCTTCCAGCACTCATTGCGGCTTCTTGATCAAGGTAAGTCTCCTGTCAAACTATTCGGGCACACCTCTTAAATTATTTTACGCGATGTTGCGTGTTTGTTTTGCGCGATCACTGGTTGAAAGACTAAGGAGGTGATGATGACCCGCTTATTTTGTTTTCCTATTGTTGCCCAATTCGCTTGTTGTAACAGATACCAACATACTATGAATATATGCATGTGTACGTGGCAAGCCGTTTTAACACGAATTCATTTAACATTTAAGTAATAGTGAATAGTTTTTTTCAGTTTCACTAATATACATTCTTTAGACACTATTTCTTGTTTCTAGTTGTTGTGTGATGCTTATCCATTACATACCAGTGCTCTACTATCCCATTTGTTGCTGGTAACGGATTGCATTTTCCGCCTTAAATATTCACTAGTATCTTTTTTCAGTTTTTCTACTAATTACATAGACACTAATACACTTTTAATTGGCGCTAGTGTATTCCCATTGTTACTAGTTCCCATTGAACGGCAAAGTATCCATTTTGACTAATATTACATATGAAATGTGAAATAAAATGTAGCTAGAAATTTAAACAAATAGGCCTGCTAGTATACTAGTTAGAGAAATAAATGTTAAAACGTTGTACCTGCTCATTGGTATATCTACATTAAAATTAGGTAAAATGGTGTATGCCAGAAAGTGCTGAATTTCATTGTAAATCTGTTTCTTTAAACACTATGTGCAAATGTTAGATGATTTGTTGACGATTACTTTTTTTTTGCATATTTTTTTTTGGAATTAAATATTTTCTTAAGAGCTTGAGCTCATTTGCGCTTCTCTAAGGAAGCAGAGCAGATTTAAGTCCGGAGAGAGTGCAGACTCATTAATTAATCCGTTTTAAAAGCTCTGCGCAGAACTGATATTTTTGATAACGAATGTAGCAGGTGCAGTTATTTGTGTCTCTGGATTGAATGTGAATCTTTCGGGGCTCTCAGGCAAATCAACATCTAATGGAAAGTGTGTTTAAACACCAGAGCATTTCATCCAGATATTTGTTTTTCGAATTTTGTTTTAACATTTGCATTCAAATGATTTGTTTTTAAGATATAAACAACCTTCATGTCTACTTATCTAAATGACCAGCTTGAGGCAAGGTTGAATGTTTGGTTTGAAAGTTGGCAGGAACATTAGCAACTAAAGCAAAGACTCACTGGTCATATTAAAAATGTTGATGTTGCATGAATGTTGTTGCATAAAAATAGGGCAAAATGGCATTATTCTGTTTCATTTCTTCCTACCAGTTAAAAAAGTTTGGCACATAGCTGTCATAGATTTGCGCTCCATCTCTTTCTCTCATCCGAATGCTCTCAGTCGCAGTGTTGCACAAGTAATTTACTCATGAAACAACTTGATGGCAATTGTGTGCCTTGTCATGCGATCCACCGAAGATATTTCCCAGGATTCACTGGGCAGAATCAGCTGTAGGATCTCCAACTAAAACCATAGAGCTTTAAATCTGGTGTACCAGTGCAACAGAGAGTCCGTTTGCAGCTTTAGGCATGGTGCAGCCACTCTTCAATTAAATCTGCACTTTTGCAAAAGAATGTGTTTCCTGGCTGTTACTCTTGAGTTCACTTTGCCCAGGGGAATGACTGAAGGTCTAAGAGCTCTAACACACTAAGGCATATGTGGTTTGATAATAAGCTGCAGCGTCAGCATCGTGGAGCATGTTCTTTTTGAGCAACTGTTCATATATTAATGGGGAATGGGATTGAGTCTCTTGTTGGAGCATAATGTCTTAAAATAACAGTCGAAAGTCATTATTTACTCACCTTCATGTTGGTCCAAACCCACATGCTGTGTATTTGTGTAACTGAAAAATAAGTTTGGAATTTTTATGCCGCATTTGTAAAGAGACCACAGATGTCAAGTCCCAAAAAAAAAAAAAAAAAAAAACCCAGCAAAAAACAAGCAAACACCGTAAAATTAATCCAACTCAATCACTTTGTGTTTCACAGAAAAACAAAAAAATTGCATATGAGTTTGTAACTAGGAGTTTTGGGTGAACAATTACTTTAAGAGCGAAAAGACTGAGACTGTATGTGCAGGGAACGCTGTAAAATTAAATCAGAAATGTGTCTTAAACTGAAGAGACTACAAAGTTTCACTTTTTATAAATGGAGTGATGCTATTTCCTATGCAATATCCAAAACGGTCTATTAAGGGGTCATTACAAACTAGCCTTTCAGCTCACGAATTGGGGTTGTGGCTAAACTCATATATGTCATCAGACATCAAGCCTGTCTCGCTTCTCAGCAAAAGCTGTGAGGCTCTATCTCTTTATCAAAGGCACATCAAGATGCCATGGTGGAAGATGTTCAGACATGTTCTGTCACCACTAACTGAGATTTCTGCAGAGACCGGTAGGGTTTGGTGTGAGAACGTCAGTGTTTCTGTCAGAGCGAAGAGTTGGGGCTATGACCAGTGTAGCGGATAACACATTTTTCAAACTTTCACACTCAGCACTTTTCTACCTTATCCCTCCATCTCGCTCCTTTTCTCTTTAAGAAATTGGAAGGACTTTTAGCAGCATGATATCTCGTAGTGAGAAGCATGATGGCAGAAGGACAAAGTTTAAACCTCTCTTCAGTTTCTGGACAGTTTCACTCACAGCAATGAAAAGGAGAGAGAGAGAGAGAGAAACTGAGTAATCCAGGAAGAAATAGACTGCTTCATAAGTGTATTTGCTTGTTTATTAAGAAAGATGCAATTTGCAAGTAATTAGCTAACATCTCTGAATGTTTTATTGGCAGAAATCAGCATAGGCGTCCTGGGGTTTGGAGATGTTTGCGTGGCTGCCAAATCTTGAGAAAAACTTGCAGCTCTTATCTCCAGTATACTACAGATGGCTCATGATGTCATGTCGAGTAGCTCTCATCTTAGAATCCTTAACTAAATTATGTAATTGGCAGGAGAAAAGGAAGAAGAGAAAGAAAAAGCGACATACAAATACGCATTCGCACATACATAGGTGATCACACTGTTTGGCAGGCATCACAGGCCGCTAAACAAATCTTTACTGGCTGGAAACCGATGCAATGGGAGTTTCATTAAACCAGCGCACACCAACAGTCACCAAACTCCCAAATCCCACACAATCTTTTTACGTAATTGCTCTAGAAAGGCCTTTCTTAAGAGCGTGTGAGGCGCTAATTAGGTATTTAGTGTAATTACACTCCATTAAATTAAAAACTGATCCATAATTGTGACTTAGAAAAGTAAAACTTAATGTTTCAGTAAAAACTTAGACCACACACACCTGAGTTTACCTTTAGTAGTAATGTGTTTCTATGTATTCTAGCATATTGTAAGCATTTTTATTTTTTGAAGAGGTTTGTGTGTATATTGTAAGTCTGGGTATTACTTAATACACATCACAATTAAATGCAATTTAAGCCAACGTCATTATTTTATTGCAAATGAAGTTCACTAAATGCATGAGAAAGATTCAGCCGCTTCACACGTTTGCTTCAGTTTTGTCTACTACTTGAATATGGCAGTTCCTAGAGGTTGCATCTACATTAGTGTTGGGCGATATGCTCAATTTTCATATCGTCCTATCGTCAGCCTGTGAGATCGCCGATACACGATATTATCGTGTTAATTTATTTAATTATTCTTTTACTTAGTTTCATTGCCGGAAAGTGAACCAACTCCAGCGTAAGGCTAAAAACAGCCTTTTTAATGTGACTGAATTTCTATTTAACATGATAAAATCAATAGAAATATTGTAAGTTACTAATTATAATGCTTATATTTCCTCAGTTATTCAAAAAGCAGCTACAGAAAACGATCAAAGACCATTTACATTACCAGAGAACAGTCCAAATTCTGTCAGCGCGCGCTGAACATCGAAACTCCGCTGTTTCAGCGATGACTCATCTAAACGCCTCTGATTGGCCATTGCATTCATAAGCATAACATAATCGTGTGTGATTGGTTATAACGCGCAACACTGTTAAAATGCGGAAAAAGAAATATAATGGAACAAATAAGCCCTAATATTAATTGGATAGTATTACTAACCTGATAATAATAATAATAATAATCGTCTTGATATCGTCAGTGGCATCAGCCACAGGCGATATCTCTGACTATCGTCGATACACGATACTATCGTCTATCGGCACAACCCTAATCTACATTAACTGAACTATAGAAAATTAAACAAATACTTGCACATATCCAATAAAAATACAAATGCACCAAAATATGATGCAATTTTGTGAGGAAAAACAATGGCAATGCCAGTGGATCAGTTTCTCGAGGTAGTACAGACTGTCTTTGTTTTACCATGTTTATATCATATCCAAACTGCCATTTACCCATGTGGAAGAAGAAGGAAAGAGAGCGAGTGATGAGAAAAAGAGCAAATACTTTAGCCCATGTATGCTGTATCGCTTGTTGAAGAAGAGAGAAACAAATGCTTGTGCAAATTCCCAAAGCTCTGAGCACAGCATGTACTGTATAAGATGGTCTGTAATATTCATTTAAGATTCAGGAAGAGTCATTGATTCCTGCTATGATACAGAGATCTGTATCAAAAAAAAAAAAAAAAGCTTTTTTTTCTTTCTTTCTCCTGCCCTCTGGTCTGTGGCTGTATGGTGGCTTACAAAACCACCCACCAGCAAACAGAAAGAGCGCCTGGCAGTGCATCAAATGCCTTGTGAACAGAGATAGATGGAGACAGTTAGAGAGATAAATTGCGAAGAGAATGGCACTTGATTGAGATGATCATCACTGTCTCTCAGACGCCCTGGGCAGCGTTAATATATTATCTTGTGTGTAAGTGAATAGCTGTTGCTGTGAGTTTCTGATCTGAGGTCAGGTCAGTTGGTGCTAGTGTTATAGTACTGGAGAAGATAGGATGAGGAAAACTGATCTGGGGTCAGTTCTAAAGTGTATAGATGCTCACTGGCAGATTGAACAGATCTTTAAAAACTTGGCCGACATGACATGACATGTGGGTGATTAATTGCAGAA